TGCTGTTATTTTATGCATTTGTTAAATTTTCATTCTCTTTATCCCCTTCCTTCTCTTTATTTTCTCTTGTCTTCTCTTCTCTCTGATTCTCTTTATCTTTTCCCTTTTCCGCTCTTCTTTGTCGTTGTTTAGCAAAACGAAACCATTCAGCCGCGATATTATCAAATTCTGTTTCCGTGAGTGTCATATGATGCAAGGTAATCTCTCCTTAAAACGAAATAAATGTAAAATTAATGAAACTATTACAAAATATATCTTTAATTTATGATTTAGCAACATTTTTTTACATACTTTTTATAATTATTACAAACTGTAAATTATCTAATCGAAAATGGTTACGTATACCCTTCCAAGAGCAATTTATGGCACATCCATTAGTAAAAATCTTTTTCAGAGTACTATGGATGTTATCTCTAGGGTTATTTCCTCCAATTTTTGATATAAATCGTTTCTATAAAAAAATATAATTACAAGTTTTGTCTAATAATGATAAAATTAAAATAAATACGGAAAGGATATTTAAAAATTATCAAATAAATATAATTTAATTAGTGAGAATAATTCAAATAATATTGATACACATATATGCACACAATGGATAGAATCATAAAAAACATTCCTATTTTTTTAATTCTAATAATATAATGCATCCATAAATTTTATGGACATTTTAATAGAATGCAATAAAGAAATAATGAACTTACAAAATGTGTCACTGCTTCGTTTGAAGTTTTCAGCATCGAATCAAATTCTTTAATGTTGTTTATTGTGACTAATGGTAACAATTGTACAATCAAACTATCGTCATATGGACTTAATGCACGGTTTTTTATCCTATTTTCCAGTTTAGTTAGTCGTTGTTTTATGTCTTTAATATCTAAATTACATGTTGTTTGTAATCGTAAGAGTTGCTCTAGGCTTTCTGTAACAGCATCGAAAATATTTTATACAATAAGATAATATTACATTAATATTGTTACATGATATATAAATAATGCAAAAATTATTTACTTTTTATACTGGACATATCTGCGTTGGACTGCTCGTTACAAAACGGAGGGTACTCTAAAATATTTTAATATATATACATATAAACAGGTTAAGTGTTAAATAATTCTGTCTACAACACTCGTGGGCAGATAAAAACGACTAAACCGAATCGAAAGGTACTATACCATTTTGCAATTTTCACAATAGTAACTACATATTAATTTCTAAAGATCGCCAAATAAGTGGATAAAATCGACGCGTTATTTAGATTATTAAGACATTTTTCTGAGTTCTTTATGAAATATAATTCCTTAATTAATTCTTTAAAATGTCTTTAAGTTGTCTTATGCGTCAATTGTAGACATTCTATTCACTGAGTGACAACTGAAACAACTTATTTTGAAAATTGCAAAATTATAGAGGGTATTTCGACTCATTGTCAGTTTAGTTTGCTCTATCTGCTTATGAGAATTGTCGAGAGAATTATCAAACACTCTGTATCGAGCCATTATACTCCTACATATACACTTAATACAATTAATCTTTTTTGCGTTTAATGTACGTACCTTGTATTATGGATATATCTTCCCATTTTTTCTCATTGAGAAATATATTGTCTTTTTCTAGAAAGATTTAAATTAATATATTATTTTTCCGATTAGTAATATCTTATTTCCAGTATAAATTACATAAACAAGATATGTAAATGATCGATTTCATATCATGCAACTAACATTTTCAAACGCTGTCAAGAACTTATTGTGAGATTTAAAGATCAGGCAAATGGGAGTCAGCGTGGGAATTGGTACGCAATATTTAATTTATTTATTTAATATCATGAATGTTTCTTTATTGTTTGAGATTGTACATCAAATCTGTTAATTTAATGGTGACTTTGTCTCAACTATTTGAAGAGAGAAATGAATTTAGATGCTGAGGATGACTCCATAGTAGAGTCGAAACGTTCATGATATTAAACGAATAAATTGAATATTGCGTATCAATTACTACGCTGACTCGCATTTGCCTGATCTTTGTGTGTGTGTGGATCCAATTTTGATTGATTTTATAATAAATAATATTAACAAAATAAGATATCGCTCGATAAAATTACAAATCACAAAAGTTATATCGACCAATAACAAGCAGAACAATGATCTTCATATAAAATTTAATATATCAATACTTTACAAATAAATTAGATATTAATAATTATTATACGTTTCGACTGCACAGTCTTCTTCAGTGAATATTATAATTTAAAATATATATAAACTTTGGGGCATTCTTTGTGAAAAAAGCCACCCCCCCCCCTGTCCACTTCAATTTTTAAGATAAAATTATCTTATACGGCTTAAAATTTTCGTTGAAGTATCTATTTTTTAATTTTATGTGGCCTTTTTAGAAAAACGTAAATGGCGGAACAATAAGAGGCTAAGAAGAACAAAAAGAACAAAGAGAAGATTGTATTTCTTGGAAAAAATAAGATTCATAAAAACAAAAAAATACCTGACTCGCTCAAATTATTCTTTTACTTATACACTTTTGTGTGCTGCATCATATTGTAAGGAATTCAAAATGGCGGAACCAATATGGCGGATGAAAAGACAAAATTATAAATTTCGAGTTTTAAAAAATACATTCGCATTCTACGTCAATTTTGGGAAATAAATGCGCTCTTGCGATTTTTCGATCGGTCGCACTGATTTTGAGATAAAAATTCATTAATAGTGGAATTGAAGGCAAATCTGTGAGAGATCGTTTTTTGAATATCAGACCGCAGAATCCAGTCAAAAACCGTTCTTATAAAACGATTTTCAAATGCTTCTAAAGGTGCACATATGTCGCTAAATAAAGCCAAATAAAGTAATGTCACCGCATTGCTATTGGTGAAAAAAGTGAGAGGCAAGGGGACTCACTGCACAAAAAAAATGAATGGTTATATTAGCCAGACATATTTCTGACTTACCTAGAAATATGCCTGAATTAGCCATATTTCTAGGTAACTCAGGCATATGTCTGTCTAATTTAGCCATACATTTTTTCCGTGTGCAATCAAGCACCCCGGTGAAATGTAAATCCAACCGATCGACCTCCAAGTGGTACATCTCGGGTAATGCTAACATCGGCGGTACGAATACGGTGATGGTGTGATTGAATCATCCTGCAATAAAGAACCTTCAAGGCATCTATGATTATTTTCGGCCAGCCATACTGGATCTGCCATTTCGAATTTTGAAAATTTGACCCCGGATTCGTAATCAGAGAGCTCAAAAGTCCTTGGAAACACTCATAATTTCTACGAATCGCGAACAAATCCAACGGTCTGATATTCGAAATCCTATCTCTCTCACAGATTTGCCTTACATTCCACTATTAATGAATTTTTATTTCAAAATCAGTGCGACCGATCGAAAAATCGCAAGAGCGCATTTATTTCCCAAAATTGACGTAGAATGCGAATGTATTTTTTAAAACTCGAAATTTATAATTTTGTCTTTTCATCCGCCATATTGGTTCCGCCATTTTGAATTCCTTACAATATGATGCAGCACACAAAAGTGTATAAGTAAAAGAATAATTTGAGCGAGTCAGGTATTTTTTTGTTTTTATGAATCTTATTTTTTCCAAGAAATACAATCTTCCCTTTGTTCTTTTTATTCTTCTTGGCCTCTTATTGGTTCCGCCATTTACGTTTTTCTAAAAAGGCCACATAAAATTGAAAAATAGATACTTCAACGAAAATTTTAAGCCGTATAAGATAATTTTATCTTAAAAATTGAAGTGGACAGGGGGGGTGGCTTTTTTCACAAAGAATGCCCCAACTATATAATTTTTATGCATACCTTTTGAATACGATGTTGAATCACCTGTATGTACACAGTTCAGATCTGAATATTCATTGCGATACGTGATTTGATATATCTGATGAATTGATATATTCAAATGAAATGCAGTAATTAAAATATGCAATAGGATGCATAAGAGCCTGCTGACAAATCAATAATTCTCTCTCTTTCTCTCTCTCTCTCTCTCTCTCTCTCTCTCTCTAGGTAGAAATCAAATTAATATAATTATAGTCTTAAAATACAGATTTATGTTTACATTATTATAGTCACAAGTCGATCTACTCATAAGCCTGATATATTTCATATACGACAAGGCTTTTCAAGCCTGTTGATTAGCTGTAGGACAAAGATGTTCTCGAATCTCTCTATCCTACAGCCAATCAACAGGCTTAAAAAGCCTTAACGTACGACACATGAAATATCGACTAAAAGCCTATTCTACAATTGCATAAACGTAGTTGTATTATCCAAATATATAATTGTCTTTATATATTTTTAACATTAAATAATGTATGTTTTTATATTTATTATACAGCATGTGTAACTAAAAGATCGATCATAACCTTATTAAGAACTTGTAAAAGTGTCATGCATTATCTCAGATAATAGTCATGACCGGACAAAAATATCATAAAAATTAAATATGGAAATACTTTTCACATTTAATTCTATCGTTAAATTAACAGTTAATGTAAAAAAGAAAAAGGATTACCTTCGATGAAGATTCTATAACTTTTCGCCTTGCACGTGCACACGTATGGTATTCAACCAAGAAAGTATAATTTACATGGCGGGCGAACTCGCATTATCTTAAGCGGTGCGAGCGCCATCCAACGGAAAAGTTTAGAACCTCGCGTGAAATTCAAATTATATAATATCAACAGAATATCAATGAAACAATTATTTTATAACACTCTACAAATGCAGTTATATCACTGTTCGTTTATTATAACATATAAATAACAAAATGACGTAATGGTTTCATAATTCGATTATATTATATATGTGAAGTAAAATTATATAACTATAATATAAATAGAGTGTAACATCTGCTATATTACTTGTTTCTTCTACGTTATATTGTATTTAGGTTTAGTGTTTCCTGGGAATAGTCTAAGATTTTATTAACATTTATACACACCAAGATTACGTTTCGATATTAATTTTCAGTACTGAAAATTTATGGTACACGTAATGTGTACTATAGATTTGAAGTACTCACAATGAATATCGGAACGCAATCCAAACACATACATTAAGTTTAACAGAGAATAACAGAACAACGTGAAATATTTTACCGATCCATTGCATAAAAAATCATGTTATAAAAGCTTACAACCAAAGAAAAGTAAACCAAATAAAAAAAACTAAAAAGGAAAAAACGGTACCCAAGAAATAAGTATATGGTGTTAATAAAAGCAATATTAACCGCCACCAAGCAGCAAAAGCTATAACTAAGCCTCTCTGAAGTTAAAATAATTTTTTTAACTCTATGCTGTAGATAACAATTTATAAATTAATAAAAAAATGAAATCAATTAATTTGGCTACTGAGACATTTAGTTACAAATCCGAGGACGTAGAGGGATGTTCATCAGCACCAAACAAACGCAAAAAACATGTATTTTCTCTTGCGTTTGTTTTATGCAGATTCTCGGACATGAGAGTTAAATGTCGAGCATCAACTACCATGGTTTGAGCCGTTTCTCCTCTCGCCCTCAGAATTGATTTGAATACGCATAAAGATTGAACGTTACTCGGATGAAGTTTATTACGTTTCTTAGTTTTTACGTCTGTCAGCATGGAAAACACTCTTTCGGCATCAGCATTAGAATTTGGAAGAGATCGAACTGCATTAATTAATTTAGATAAAACTGGATATCTAAATTTTCCATCTGCCTTTTTAGTTGCCATTATTGTTTTCCATGCTTCATCAAAATGTAAATTAATTATTGTTGCTTTCTGCTCTGATGTGAAATTCTTTTTTAGAAATTGCCATTCTTCTTTTAATATCTCCTCATCAAATCCGCCGAATCGTTGAGCAACAAAAAGAACATCCTGAACGGAGTTGTTCGGGCTGTTTTTTTCGTCTTCTTCCTGTAAAGCAAATTTAGGTTCAAAGATTCTCAATTTACTAAGAAATTCGTCCTTAACAAAAAGTTTGTTACGAATTTCTTTCGCAGCGATGTCATAGAATGCCAAACAATCGTCGTAAACTGATTTGACAATCTCACCCTGACCTTCCTAGTTCAATCGATCAAGAAGATCTTGGTAAGCTTCTCCAACCATAACTTGATCAGGAGATAAACGATTACACGCGAGCAAAGGATTAATTGTACCCATCGAAACAAAATTCAATAATGGTACTTTTACAACATTTTTAAGAACGGTTTTCAAAAGATTTTCCGCAGCTGACTGAAGTAAATGAACTTTTGTTTCTTCAGTTTGAAAAGACGCATTAAACTTGTTAAATGCATCCAGAATATACTCAAGAAACAAGAGATATGCTTGTATTTCTGAATTTTGCATCAGAGATAATAAAGCAGCCCCAGACTTTGATTTCTCGCTCAATTGCTCTTCTTGCAAAAATTTTAATAGCACATCCCAATTTTCGTTCAGTCTAGCCACGCATGCATGACATGAAAGCCATCGCGTTTCAGACAGGTTTAAAATTTTCCTAGAAGTCCCATCAAAGCAAAATGATTTTTGGAATTGCTCAAAAATACACGCACGCTTGGGACTGCTAGAGATAAACGATGCCACTTTTCGCAAAAGCTCCTCGCATGCTTCAGGAATTGCGCTGCAAGCTGCATTTGCTACTAATGCAGATGCGTGACAAGGACGTGGCATCGTTATCAAACTTTTGCAATGTTTTTGTAATTTTATTTTAAATGATTCGTATTTTCCTGTCATAACGAAAGCGTTATCACAGGAAAGAGCGAGAATGTTTGAAAACGGAATTTGTTTTCTCCACATTTCGGCTCTAAAATTTGTAAATAATTTTTCGGCATTACAATTACTCGGGTCCAAATGAATTAATTCTAATAATTCCGTTCGAACATTCAAAGTCTGAGGATCGACGTATCGAACAAGAAACGTCATCCATTTATCATTAGTTAAATCAGATGTTTCGTCAACAAAAATAGAAAATTTATTATTTTTTAATTTTTCGACCAACCGCTCCTGTTCGCGAACACATAAGACATTCTTTATTACTTTCGGTGCCTTATTCCGATTCATCCTCATACTTTTCAAGACTTCCGGATCTTCTCCGAGGTCTTGAAAAAACTTAAGATTGATTCTGTTGTTTCAAATGGAATATTTTTCTCGGTAATTAATGCTGCAAATTTTATTTCCGCGATTTTTTTCCGATCTTCAAAAAGCACAGGTTCTTCGTCATGCGTATTCAAATCTACGCTGAAGCCCCTTTTCTGACACTCCGAAACATGTTTCTTACTGTCAGAATGTCGTATATTGTTGAAACCACACCGAAACTTTAGATTGCAGAAGGAGCAAAAACAATTGAAAGGATCGTCCGGGATTGTTTGCAGCCATGGTTTGAATTGTTCATTTTCAAGCCATGAATGGCAAAATTTCCTTTCATTTCCTTTCATGAGATTCCTTTTCAATGATATTTACTTCATCAGAGCAATTATTTACTATGTTAGTTCGATGAGCTTTCGATTCAGCATGCTTAAAAACTCCTGATGAGCAAGAAAACGTTTTATTACAAACGATACAAAAATATGAACTATTATCATTAGGAACTTTTTTAATCCAAGATTTACATTGCTCATTTTCTAGCCAATCATGAGAAAATTTACGTCTTTTTGCGTGCTTAGAATCTACGCATTCCATACTGAAGAATACAAAAATACAAAAGAAACAATTAAAGAAAAATATAAAACAAAGAAAAACAGCAAGTAATGAAAAAAAGATAAAGTGTAACTGTAAATACCTTTACAAGAATGCACACTTGTCTAGAAAGAGGAAGAGAAAAAGCGTCTAACAACGTAACCATCAAACTAATATTTCATTCAAAATAAATCCTACTACAAAAGAAAAACTACTTTACACGTTAAATTGTACACAGAACACAAATAATAATCTAACAATATAATTTTCTAATCATTACAGGAATTTTAGGAATCTCTAACCTCTTATACGTGCTAAGCACGAAGCGAGTAGAAACAAAAACAGATCGCGAAAAAAGATAATTTCATGTCTATGGGGGGTCATAAAGTTTGCGCTGGTTGCGCGGCAATCGCGCAATGGTAGCGGTCCCACTTTTCATCGCGCCCTGATGCAAAGTTTTCCCGGAATTTTTATATGAATAATGACATCTACGAAAAATACTGAGAAAGTTTATATTCTTTTTGGAACATTTAGTATTCAATTCCTGATATATTACACAATATATAACACTTACGTATTTTTCAAAAATCGCAAACAATTAATATTTCGTAAACTGTCGCGTTTTAAAATCATTTTTGCTATTAATGGAAAGATTATACGA